CGGCGGTGTGCGGTGTGGCCGATGATACTCCCGGGGTGGGGGGCACAGCAAAGGGCGGCTGTTACAGACCAGGGACCGGAGTGAAAATGGGGACGATCGTTAAGAGATAAGAGTCGTAGAAACCGCTCCTGTTGCCATGGCTCCCCCAACGCTTCCCAGGCACCCGTAGGAGCGAGGTGTTTTGCACACGAAAGTCTCGTTGGAAATGTCAAAGAACATCTTGCCGTGTAACAGCTCTGGAGAGCCTCGAGCGGTTTCCCGGGAGGGAGCGGGAGAGGGAAGCAGATGGGTTGTGGTTTCTGGGGGATGAGCAAAGGCAAGGCAGCAGTGGAGAGGGTGATTCTCAACATTGGAGCCCCAGCGGTTGCCCTGGGTTTGGGAGATAGAATCATAGAGTCATCGAATGGTTTGGGTGGAAAGTGGCCTTTAGAGGTCATCTAGCCCAACCCCCCTGCCATGAGCAGGGACATCTTCACCTGGATCAGGTTTCTCAGAGCCCCGTCCAACCTGACCTGGTGTGTTCCCACGGATGGGGCATCGACCACCTCTCCGGGCAACTCGTGCCAGAGTCTCACCACCCTCACTGTAAAAAAATTCTTCCATATATCCAGTCTGATGGGGTCGGCTGAAGGAAACGTCTTTGTGCCCGCAGAGCTCAGCCTCACCACCCGAAGCTGGTGGCTTTGCTGACATGCCACCCGCCAAGGCTGTCCCTCCATTTGCCTCTTTTTTTTGCATATATAGGGAAACTGAGTGCTGCAAGGGTTGTGATCACTGGGGGAGGTGGCAGAGAACCCTCTGTGGGGTCAGTTCTCCGGCACAGGCTCTGGCCATGCATCTGCGAGGCGCATCCCTAATCCCTGTTGGGAAAACGTGGAGCTACAGCCGTCCCCATCCAGGGCTGGAAGAGGACACAGGCTGGCTGCAGATGAGCCTCTTACCCTTCGGGGTGGTTTGAAAGAGTTTCTGCATGTAGGTGACCGGTGAATGTCATACCTGTAGGTGCTCCGTATACATTGAACTGGACTCCACAGAAACTGGTTTGCAAAGTACAAGCTGAATAGGGAATAAGTTCCTTCTTGTTTTTTAATTATTTTGAAGCCATCCTGTTGAATTTTGTGGCAGATATATATATATATATACACACACATATATATATAGATAGATATACACAATCCATAAAAACTCCAGAGGAGGTTTTGCAACACTTCTGCCACGCAGGGGGCCTGCTCTGTAGATGGTGAGGAACACAGCTCCAAACCATTTTGTAGCCGCCTAGAAGAAAGAAAAACCCCTCTTCTGCGGTGCAAAACATGGAAATATTTTTGCTTGCCTTGTCTATAAATACTCGTATGGCAGAATTTTGAACAACATCTGAAGAAAAAAAAGAAGTGAGCCCTTCACAGCTGAAAATCAAGACATTTGAATTTGGATATATTGCCCAAAATGGAGGCTTCTACAAGGAAGGGCGTACGCAAAGCCAAGTCATGCATTTCCAACGATGTGTCTAACCCTGGGGATACTGGTGGCTGGGAGTGTTACTGGCTGTGCTCAACAGGCCACGAGAGACTGAAGCAGGGTGCTGATGTTCGCCGGGCCGACAGCTCGTCAGCTTTGCAGCGCCGGGAGGACTTTTGGTTGACCTACTTTTGTTTGGTTGCTATTTCCCGCCCCACAGTCTCTCGCAAAAATAGTTTCTGCTGCTTTCGACACAATGCCCAGTATAATTGGAAAGTCTGAATCAGATGTGTGTTGCTTTTGCAGTCTCAGGAGGACTTCTGCTTCACACGGCGCTTTAGAGGACAGTCGTTTTGCCAGCGTTATGAATACGCATGTCCCGAAGCCATCCCCTGGCTGAGAAGCTCAGCAAACCACCACCCTTCTTAGAGGGAGAAAATATCCGTGTTTCATAACTCTGGCACGAACCAAGTGGGAGTGTTTTATTTCACAGCCCTTGAGCTGGTGGTCTGAGAGCCCAGATCACCCCCTTCAACCTTCCAAGGCGCTGGAAGAGTCGGTTGCGGGTCCTTGGTGCTCCCGGGCATCTGTTTGCTTCTTCAGGTGCCTAAGTCGCAGGTGGCAGAGCAGGGCATGCCTAACCCCCAGGTCTGGTGGTTCGTTCCCAAGCAAGCTGTTGACCCACGCCAAAACTGGCAAGGTTCCTACCAGAGGCCAGGAGTCTCCTGACCCTCTCCTGCACCCGAGCCGTTGAGCTGCCCTGTCTTTGCTGGCAGAAATAGGTTTGAAGCAACTGTTGCCCAGCGTTTTGTGGTTTCTGTCCACAGGCTCTTCACGTGGAAGTAGATGGGGAAGGTTTTGTGATTCGCAGTCAGCGCTGCTGGTTGGTTTCTCTGGATGGGCTAGTGCAGCAGGCCAGCGATCGGGGTGTGCAGGGCTATTGCTGTTGTTAGGGTCCTACAAGACCTCGTGAAAGCATCTCCCTCAGCTTCAAAGGAGGTGGTGGAAAACCTGAAGACTCTTGCACCTGCCTTGGAGGAGGGGTGGTTTCATGGTCAATGAAAACCAGCCCAGACTGTGCTGGGGCTTGCTGGCCATCACGCCCAAGCATTCACGTCACCTCTTCTGTGCTGCCTTTCACCCTTGTGATGACCCAGATGATGAAGCTAATCATCTGCTGGCTTTGTCACGGTAGCTGACGTGCCAGGTCAGGTCTTCAACCCAGCTTGCTCTGTGCCTGCCTCCCTCCTGCTGCACCGCCCCACGCGCAGCGAGACGGGGAGCCAGGATGCTGCCAGAACTGGGGCTCCCTGTGATGTTAATTGAGTTTTCTCCCTTAATAACCTGCCATAGGATGAAGTCATTTCTCCTAGTGACCAGTGAGCTGGCCCAGCTGGCTGAGAGCATCCCTTCTGCGTGCTTTCCCTCGAGGCAGCCAGTGGGAAGCCATGTGGGCAAACCTGCTTTGATAGCTGTGGAGGCATGCGTGATGTGATAATTTCAGGCAGCTCTGTGATGGGGAGGGGAACTGAGGAACGTGTCCGTCCTCAAATGCTGCTCAACCCTGACCATGTTTGCATTTGCTGCTCCTTGCTGTTTGGGTAGCAGAGGGCTGGGGAGGTGTTGCTGACTCAGCAGGATGGACTGTAAACGCCTACGACCAACCAGGTCCTGCCCCGAGGGAGCACTAGACTTGCAGCATCACCTAAACTGACAGTGAGCAGCCTGCTCTGCCCTCGCCCTGCGTGATGATTTGGGTCTTTTCTTCTCCACAGGTATCCCACGAGTTTGCCATTAACTTCAATCCCACGAACCCATTCTGTTCAGGTAAGCATCATCCAGGTCTTTAAGGCTCCTTAGATGCCTTCAGTGTCTTCTGTCCTTCCCTCTGCATTTCTCCAGTAACATCTCGGGGACGGCTCAAGGTCTGTTCAGAGACAGGAGTTAATGGTGAAGCAGAGCACGTGGTCAGGGTGCACTCAGAGGAAAGCAGAGAAAATCTGGGGGTGTGTGGGAAGGCCCAGGGTAAAATGCAGCTGGATTCAGGCAGCCTAAAATCCACCTTCGCGCTGATGTCTGGTGTGTCCTACCAGCCATCTGCTCCTCCAGCAAGCCCACAAGAAACACTCGGCCTGTTCAGCAGATGGGGAATTCAGACTTCATGCTTCATTTAGAAACTGATTGCTGGTCACAGTCATGGCTGAAGAACTGCTCAAGCCCTAAGTGGTAAGGGCTACCATGGACTGCAAAAGGCATCTGGTTTGAGCTCTGCCTTACCCTAGCAGAACTGAGGCTTGGGCACCTCCGAGCCTTGCTCGCCAGTTCGTGAAAGCTGGCTGGGAGCATCTGCTTTTCTGCTGCCTTGGCTTTGTTCAGTCCCTCTCCACTAGCTGTAAAGCGTTCATTGGACCTGGTTTATTGCGGGTGCTATGAGTGCAGAAGCCACCATCCCACAGCTCTTATCAGTGACAGGTCCTTCACAAAGAACCGGTTGTCGGCTGATTAATTGTGGAATTCGTCATTTTTTGAATTACACCCCATGCGTCCTTTTGGGAGAGTAGCCATTTACCCTGTTCTGGTGTGGCAGAAGCAGAAGAGTCTCCGATGACCTGCAGGTCCCAAACTGTGTTTGGGACCTCCGAGGGTGCTTCTGGGTTTTTTTTGCTTCTCTCCGCTACTTCTGCTCCATACCTGTCTGGCGTTTGGTTATGCTCCGAGACCGGGAGTTGCTTTTGTTTTTGCTCTTCCTCTTTGGCTGATGGTGAGATTTTTGCAGAAGCCCAAGGAAAGCTGCCTTCGGCTGTGGGCACTGTGAGGGCTCTCTTACCCCAGAAGGTCTGAGGACCCACTACACACTGACTAAAGAGCAAAGCCCTAGTATTAGAAAATTTGAGTCGAGGTGGATGAAACTTGTGGAGCTGGATGAGCTTGACAGCCTTAGCTAATGATGCTTCACTGGACTGGTGGTGGGCCTGAGCTGTGGCATGTTGTGATGCCTGGCTTCTCTGCTTTCCCTGCAGGTGTGGAGGGCATTGTCCAAGCGTACTCAGCCTGCCTGCCCCACATCCGCTTCTACGGACCCACCAACTTCTCCCCCATCGTCAACCATGTGGCCCGCTTCGCGGCTCAGGCCACCCAACAGGAGGCTGCATCCGTAAGTCCGTAAGATCCCACCATGCGATAGCGATCCCGGTGGCTTTGGGCAGGGGAAGGCAAAGCCTAAGCTCTGAGCTTGATTTCGTGTCTTTTCCTTCAGTGCGGGCAGGGAGGCAGGGTCCTCCAACCAGGACCGCCGCTGGGGTCCCTGCAGCTGTGGGCTCTCACTTGACTGTCGTCACTTCAGATGGAGAATGTAGTCATTGCAGATGCCTCTTAGGAGGAAAAAACATAACTCAAAAACTTGACAGTGGTCAACAAAACTGTAGCTGTGGAAAATCAGGCATTACTGGGGAGAGAACTGAGATGAGGGTGGGCGATGCCGTGAGGTGGGCATTCCTTGGATCCATACAAATCACTTGAGCATGGTCTTAGGTGTTGGTTGCCTCATCTCAAAGAGGATCAAACAGCCCTGGGAATGGTAGCGAGAGAGCTGGTCAAGACACTTAGTGATGCGGAGCAGCTCCTCTATGAGAAGCAGTAAGTCTAGGACCTTCTGGCCCGGGAAGTCAACTGGGAATGTCAGAGATGCATAAAATCATGACTGGTGAAAAAGTGATTGGCGTGGATACCGGCGGGGGCTTTGGGGGAGGAGGGTGGTGGTTGAAGGGATG